CTCTGTTTACAGTAAAATGGTTGTGTGGTCTATGTGCAGTTGATCCGTTGGATTTTAAATTATTTGTGAGTTTCAAGTGGTTTAAAATTCCCTTTTCATCGATGAGTGCTTCGTTCAGTGCTTCTCGTGGAGGTAGATTTTCGGTTAAGAGTTTCCGGTGGATGTCGTAATTTTTCATGTTTTTAATGAAAATATCCCTGATCCATTCTTCTTCTCCTGCGGCTATGTCACACTTTTTGGCCATTTCAGCTAGGGCTCCCCAAAGTTGTTCGAGATACTCTGTCGCGTTGTTTACAATTTAACAATTTGTGACGTTCAAATGTGACATTTGTCTTTCTGACGAAAGCGGTTGCTAGGAATTCCCAAAACTTTTTAAATGAAATTTGAAGTTTTTTTTATCTTTGTAAACTTTTGTCCGATTTTTCTTTTTTTTTCATTTCGTAGTGCGAGATACAAGATTGATCGTAATTTTTTATCAACTTCGTCCATTCTCATTCCATTAAATTTCTTGGTTTCTGTTTTAATGGATACCGTTTCCTCCTCATCGTAACGTCTTTCTTCTTGTATATTCCTGTCGATTCTTGATTTTCTTTGGTAATACAATTCGCTGTCCGTCGGATTTTCCAAATTTGGAGGTTGAGGATAATGTCTTTCCGAAGAATTTATTAAGTTTATGATATCCATGTTTTCTTTAGAGATAATAGCTAAATGAAAGAGATCGCTCCGTTCCTCCCGGGGAATTGGCGGATCCACAGTATGGTTCTGCCAAAATGGAGGTATTCCTCTCACGTTAGATTCGTTATTTGACTTTGCTATGATAAAATGTTTCTTTGTTGTAGCTAAATCTACTTTATACAATTAAAAGAATAAAAGAACAAAAGTGAATTAGAGCATTAGTGAGAGAGCATTCTCTCCGCCGGAGAGATTGTCAAAGTGAAGGTCATAAGTAAGTGACCTGTTAGCAAGTTACGTAATAGTTGCAGTAAATGCAAATATAAAGTGAGAATCACATCACACCGGAAATTGTCTGTGAAACTCCAAGCAATCTAATATCTCACAATACGTTGTCTAAAGTTAGCGCTATCTCAGAAAAACGAGTTTGAACTTATTAATTTTGCATATTATGATCACAGTATGATCACATTATGCAGTGAAACTCGGAAAGCATCAAAAATCTTGACATTTTTACGGAGTTAATTGTTTGTTCAGAAAAAATTTTTGACGCCCCGCTTGGGGATTTTTTTTTGTGTAATAAGCGGTTTGGATTAAAATGGTCTATTTAGCAGTTTCAACTTTCCTTCATTTTGATTATAATCAATTGTCAATGATTTGTGATGAGGAAAAACTGGCGGATTTTCAAAAATTCTGATTGGTTTAGGTTGTCTAAATTGATTTTCCGAGTGCTCCTAGAACACTATAAAAAGCTTATTTTGACAAATTTTTTTGCGCCGCAGGCAAATAAAAAAACAGGTAAAAATGCCGTTTTTTTTTTGAAAAATTAAAAAAAAGCGCTCCCGTTCAAAATAGGCATATAATGGGGCCGAAGGCGCTTTTAGAATTGTAAGGGTCGGTTTGCCGAAAAATGATGTCTTAAATTAATACCGCAGGGGGGCCTTTGGTTGGTGAGAGAGCCCGACTCCCTGAGGGGAGAAAATCATCCTTCCTAAATCTGGTGAAGTGTACTCTGTCAAATTATAATAGAAATAGCGCGCGGGTAAACTGATTTCTTTTTCATGGGCATGCTATTCGGCTCACAGTCCCACCTGCTAGTAGGCTGGATTTGGATCAGAATTGGGCCAGTATTTTTGGACTATTGCAAAAAGCTTACAGCAATAATTTACGTTACAGTGAAATAAGACAGAATTTACAAAAACTCTTTTTTTTAAATCCCTCTATGTCGCGAGTTGGAAATGAAATCAAGGAAATTTTCTCATTTACTGGTGCGAAGTTTTTTTAGTTTTCAGACTAAGTTAGAGCTCACTGGCTGTTACGATGATTGTAAATAAACATGTTTGCTTACCTGTTATCAGGGGCGGATTTAGGGAGAGGGGGGGAAGCCTCCCCCCCCCCCTCAGGGATTCGACCCCCTGCCGACCCAAAGGGTCCCCCCTTTGATACTTTTAAGAAATACAGTTTTGGCTGACCAACCTTAAAGTTTTTCTAAAGGCGCCTTTGGCGCCAATATATACTAATTTTGAGGGGGGAGCGCGCGCCGAAAAAACGCAATTTTTTGGTCAAAATTTTCCAAAAAGTGCCTAAAAACGCCTTTTTTAGCCTATTTTTTCAAAATTTTGAGTGCGGCGCAGAAAATTTGGCCAAAATAGAGACAAAACAGTGCTTTGGGAGAGCTCGAAAAATCAATTTGGTTGACCTAAAAAAAAGGTCGACAAAATTTTCGAAATTTTTTTGAAAATCCGCCCCCCCTCGAGAAAATCCTAAATCCGCCCCTGCCTGTTATTACTAGCTCATTAAATATTTTACAGTGCCTCTAGCAAAATGTGCGGACCGTTTATTAAGCTTTGCGGACAGTTTTTTTCTAGATCGACCAGATTAAAAATACAAGACAATTTTGAAGACCCTGTGACAAAACATGGCTATATACAAACATGTTGGTCAAACATGGCTATATCTGGTCAGACTTAACTATACCTGGTCAGACATAACTATATCTGGTATCTGGTCAAAAAAGGTTATACCTGGTCAGACATAACTATACCTGGTCGGACATAACTATACCTGGTCGGACATAACTATACCTGGTCAGACATAACTATACCTGGTCAGACAAGACTGTACCTTGTCATATATGACTATACCTGGTCAGACAAGATTATACCTTGTCAGATATGACTATACATGGTCAGACTTGACTATGACACGCCTTTTTCTTCAACATTTGTTTGTTAGAACTGCGGTAAAGCCTCTTAACATCAATTTTTGGGCTTGCTACTTCCAATGCTGGGAGAGGAAGTGTCTCCCATGGGCTGCGAGATGCGACAGAAAGGTGAGCTGCACCCGAGGCGAGGAAGAGATGAGGTGAGAAGACAAGAAGGGGCTTGCGACTTCTAATGCTGGGGCAAGAAGTGTCTCCCATGGGCTGCGAGATGTGACAGAAAGATGAGCTGCACCAGAGGCGAGGACGAGATGAGGTGCGAAGACGAGAAGGGGCTTGCGACTTCTAATGCTGGGGCAAGAAGTGTCTCCCATGGGCTGCGAGATGCGACAGAAAGATGAGCTGCACCAGAGGCGAGGAAGAGATGAGGTGAGAAGACGAGAAGGGGCTTGCGACTTCTAATGCTGGGGCAAGAAGTGTCTCCAATGGATGCGAGATGTGACAGAAAGATGAGCTGCACCAGAGGCGAGGACGAGATGAGGTGCGAAGACGAGAAGGGGCTTGCGACTTCTAATGCTGGGGCAAGAAGTGTCTCCCATGGGCTGCGAGATGCGACAGAAAGATGAGCTGCACCAGAGGCGAGGACGAGATGAGGTGCAAAGACAAGAAGGGGCTTGCGACTTCTAATGCTGGGGCAAGAAGTGTCTCCCATGGGCTGCGAGATGCGACAGAAAGATGAGCTGCACCAGAGGCGAGGACGAGATGAGGTGCGAAGACGAGAAGGGGCTTGCGACTTCTAATGCTGGGGCAAGAAGTGTCTCCCATGGGCTGCGAGATGCGACAGAAAGATCAGCTGCACCAGAGGCGAGGACGAGATGAGGTGCGAAGACGAGAAGGGGCTTGCGACTTCTAATGCTGGGGCAAGAAGTGTCTCCCATGGGCTGCGAGATGCGAAAGAAGATGACCTGCACCAGAGGCGAGGACGAGATGAGGTGCGAAGACGAGAAGGGGCTAGCGACTTCTAATGCTGGGGCAAGAAGTGTCTCCCATGGGCTGCGAGATGCGACAGAAAGATGACCTGCACCAGAGGCGAGGACGAGATGAGGTGCGAAGACGAGAAGGGGCTAGCGACTTCTAATGCTGGGGCAAGAAGTGTCTCCCATGGGCTGCGAGATGCGACAGAAAGATGAGCTGCAGCAGAGGCGAGGACGAGATGAGGTGTGACACCCAGCCTACCCAACCGTAGCCTCAGCCATAACAGGAACCTTCACGGGGCAGTAGGGGGCTCAGCAGGTAACTCACTCTCTGAACTCAACCAACCACAAAGAGGCTGTAGATGAATCTTAAGGACTGCTTGATTTTGCGCAGGCGTATAACTTCTATTTATGAGCGTATTTGATTTTGAAATAATTCAGATATAATTGCATCATTTTGTTTCAGATTTTTAATATTGTTCTGTTTGATCAGTTGATAATTTGAATTTTGGCCTACAGAGTTTTTAAAAAGCGTTTTTGATATAGGTATGATCATGTATTATTAGGTCTGGTCGATCAGGTATGATCATGTCTGGTCCAGGTATGATCATGTAAAGTCAGGTATGATCATTACTGGTCCAGATATGATCATTTACAGTCAGATATGACCATGTCTGCTTCAGGTCTGGGCCAGGTGTGATCAGGCCTGTCTCAGTTATACTTTATATCTGATCACATCTGACTCAAGATCTTACTTTTTCCATAGTTATCATGTCTGTACTGTACATGTCTGGTTTACACATGTACAGGGAAAAAAGTGACATGCTTCAGGACTGATTTAGATGTGAAATTTGTACGAAATTTCGACGTCCAGAATTGAATGTAATTCTAAATTTCAGTACGGTTAGTAGCAAAGTGGATCAAAAACAGTGGGCCAATGATCGAAATATTAAATCAATAAAAATAACTGAAACTCCAGGGGGGAGAATTTGTATGCAATTGGCTAAACAAAATATCCAACGTTTGATTTATTTAATTCAAAACTTAAGCCTCCTGCATAGGCTCAAAATCAGAGAAGAAAAGGGGAAGGATAATGCAGAAAATGACAAAAACCTAAATTATTTCGAAAAACTTATGAGAAGCATCATAAACCACGTAAATAAGCACGCTTTTTGCAGACGTGAAATTGATACCTGTTTGGCAGCCTTGTTGCGTGCCTCGGGGGAGGAGTCAGTGCGTATAGTGAGCAAGATGCCCCCACTGTCTTTACCCAACTGAGTGAGGACGAAGTTCTCCAGACAGCTATCGGCCAGTCCATTGATGCTCTCCATCCTCTTCGTCTAAACATAGAATACATATAAATGATTAGGGTCAAGTTGGCATCCGCTCTTAAAACAGGTAAAGCAGCTGTTTACGAACTCAATCTTACAAGTTATAAAATTCTTATAAGATTTCGAGTTGCACTATTACCAGTGGATGCATCAACAATCCCAGATGAACTCCCTACACGAAAATGTTAGTCATGCAAATTCCATATATTTTATGTAGTTATACAAACAAATTCCATGTAGTTAAACATTTTTTTTCATGACCTCTCGGCTGTACAACATTTAAAATGCAAAGTCTTACCTCATTAGTGTAGGTTATTTTTTTGATAGTCATACAACTATAAAGACTTACAACTAGAATATAATGTTTAAAATGCAGTGTTTAACGTAAAAAGTGTGTGTTGTTTTTAGATTCTTTGTAATGATTGGATGTAAAAAATCATGTTCCTCAAGAATTTCTTTATGTTCTGAGTCGTTTTTGGCTTGATAAGTTTCAACATTTGGGTTAAATGGTGATCACTCTGTTTGTGTATGTTGTCAATCAATTAGAAATTATCTGCTTATTAACATTTCATTGTGCTCCTTAACCGGAAGCATTTTTGTTTCATAATGAAGGTGTTCTTTTGCGTAGCCAGTTACTTTTGTAAATTCAATTTTTTCTCAAGTTCGAAATTTAACAAGAAGCGGATTTGAATTGGAATTATTTATTGGGAAAATATACTTATACAGTATTTAACTCACAGCGATCGCGCAAAATGCCTGAGGCTCATTGAGGCGACACCCTGAAAAACTAAAAAAAACACGAGGTTTAAGATACTAAAAAGCAAGAAAAAATGATTTCATGTATATCGGAATTGTCTATCACAAAACAGTTCTCAATTATATACCTGTATATATTCATTTAGTTTATCCTTAATTGTTCTCAGGCAGCATTTTGTTTGAGTATAAAAAATTGGAAAAAATCTGTTTATCCTCTGGCTGAACAACCTGTGCAGCCTCAGCCCATTTGTTCTTACTTGTAGTAATTTGAGAGTTTTTGATTGGCAAGCTCTTGTGCATCTCCTTTGGAAAAATTGTTTTTAGTTTAAAACAAAGTAGAAATTTTTTAAGCAACTGATCAATAACTTCTGTATGTAGTTGACCGAGAAAGGTTTCGACGACCGTTTTATATCTGGCTTTATGAAAATTTGGCATCACTGTTTCGAAAATTCTTTTAAAAAATTTGGTTCTTTATACCCGTTTTAGCATTAATGAAAATTTTTGCAAAAATTTTTGTTGAGCTGCCATATGCTAGAAAGCCATACAAAAAAACGACTTGACATAAACATTATCAATTCTCGAGCGAAAATTTTTCCTTGTTTGATATAATAAAACTTTATAAGAGCCAAATTTTTTAGCAATATTTGGGGATAAAATTTCAAAAAATTGTCGATTACGACGTCTTAGTATTGTCGATTACTCCGAGGGACACTTCGCCTTTTTTGGTTGTCCGACCAAAAATAGCTACCTGACTTTTTTGTTAATTGTTACATTATTGGCTTGCACTACAAGTCAATATTTTAATTTTTTCCTTGAATTCTTGTACTGCGGTTAAATTTTTATTGGTGCAAAACAGCGCTAGGTCACCCGCAAAAGACTACGTTTCACGTTTTTTGAATTAATAGAAAGGTCATTTATGTAAAGTAGAAACAGCAGCGGCCCAAGTACCGAGCCCTCTGGAATATCCTATTTTATCTGTTGCATATCCGAACTCTTTCCATTGGAAGATGAGTATAGGCAACGATCAGTTAAATATGATTATATCAGTTCCTCGCATAGACCACGAAAGCCATAGCCTTCATAGTTTTTTCATCAGAATAGTATGATCGAGAGTGTCAGACGCTTTTTGAACAACTATAAAACAATCTAATTCCTATGTTTTTGAATCTTTGCATGATCGCATAATTTCTGTTGCTATAATGATTGCGTGGAAAAATCAAGGGTTTTTCCTGGCACCAAATTGTTCCTCTGCAAGGATGTTAAACTTAAAAATAAATTTCAATAAAAAATTTAAAAGCTTTCTTGATAACTTTTCTTAATGCTGAAAGAATGCTTACTGGTCTAAATTTTGATGGGTACTCGTAGAAACACTTCTTATGAAAAGGTAAAAAAAATTTGATTGTTGAAAACTCGGCTAGAAAAATAGAGAAGTCGTTCGGCTTAACTCTAAAACCATTAAGGTTCTGATTGTCAAGTGTCTCGGCCGAGTTTTCTCCAATGTCAACAAAAAACAAAAACAGTTTGAATTCATTCAAATCGATTGGAAAAAATTTTTTCTTTTTTTTCTCGTGAAAATTTTTAACGGCAAAAAACAAAGATTTGGAGTTATCAAAAGGTTTTTTTTTGTCATAATTGCCCTTCTGTTCTGTCAATTGAGACAAACAACTTTAGCACTTGACATTCAATGCTGAAAAAGTTAATTTTCTAATGTTTTGAAAAAAATAAATTATCTAGCCTATCTCGTTTATCGCAAAGGATTTTAGTTTTACGTTTCAACCATGATTTTTGTTTTTATTATGATTTTTTCAAGCGGACAAAATTTATAAAAAACGTCGAAAATCGAGTTAACCAATGAATCAAAAAGGTGATTTTCATTTTTATCAATTATATGATTTGAGACAAATAAGAGCTTGCAATGAAAGTTATCGCTCTTACAACAGCCAATTTTCCTCCGTAAAACGAATGTACCGACTTTTTTCTCAAATAATTTAATATCAAAGTCTACTTTCAAAGCATACTGATCACATATTTTACTCTGAACGGTTTTCATTGTCCTAAAAATTTATTTAATAAATAAGATCAAGGCATGAGCTCAAACTGGTAACTCTGGTTGGTAATGAGTTTTGAACTGAAAGTCCGAAAAATATCAAAAAAATAAATTAGTCGAACGCTTAATTTCAATGCTGATCAAGAATATCTACGTTAAAGCCCCGCATGAAAGGATGCTTTTCTCGGCGGTATTTAAATAAAATCATAATGTTTCCGCTCCTGTAGTAACTTACCAAGGAGTGTTGATGATGGTCGGTACAAAATGCAGATTTATTTTTTTATCTGTGTGGTCACTCAAAGAAAAAACCATATTTTCTATTTTACTTTTGATAGTTTTTGTGTCTACGTGTGCACGTTGTATCACAAATGCCGCAATACGTCCAACTTTTTTTCCTGGCCTGTTGCGAGTTGAGATTTTTTTGGTAAGCATCAAGGTAGTATAAATTTAAGGTTCGTCATCATGCAACCATGTTTCGCAAAAACCTACTACTGCGGATAACGAGTCTAAACAACCTATTTCTCATTTTAGCAGGTCACGATGGTATCTTAAGATCGTATTTTACGAAAAAACAAAAAACAATTTTAGGTAGATTAATCATCGCTGGGTTTTTCATAACAAACACTAATTTTATAAGCACTTAGAGCTTGGCTATCACTTTATCTCGCTTGACCCTGCCAACCATAACTAACCGAATCTATATATCAACAACAAAATGTTTTAGAAGGGTTCTCTCGTACAGGAGAAACCATTTTGGTTACTTGAGTCTGATCAAGCTGATAAAGCTTGTCTCCAGTTTCTTTTTTGGGTTTTCTCTCAAGAGGTTTTATTTTTCGATGAAAGTGTTCTTTTGCGTAGCCAGTTTTTTTTGTAAATTATGTTTTTGCTCAAGTTTGAAAGTTGACAGGACGGGAATAATACGAAACGCTATAACTACTGGCTGAATTGTTGACCTTTAGTAATTTTGCTACCTATGTACTTCTATCACGTCATTTTGGTGGATGGCATTGAGTTGAATGAAAGTCTTCTACTGACGACGATAGTGTTCCATTTGGGTCAGTTTTAAATAGTCTTTTTTTTTCTTTTGCAGTCACGAAACACTTCTCCAACGAGATTTCTCTAATGAATGAGCCCAAGCAAAGAAAGGGGTTAATTCAAATTATTAACACTCACCAAGACATTCGATTTTTTGATATCTTTTATTACTATGGTATGGTGTTAGTGTAATCAGTGCATGTGAGATGGTTTTCAGAAAAAATTCTAAATTTTACCGTTATTTGAAATTGGCGAGTGTATTTCTCCAACAATGAAGTCAGATCATTTTGATTCTGATTTTTTTTGTTTTCAAAAACTGCAATGATTGCTCAAAATTTTAGATTTCGAAAAAACTATTGTTCATTAATTTTGTATCGGCTATATTGGTTATTATGTACTCCTTTTCAATAGCTGCGGTGCTTGGTATGGTATTTGTGACAGACATTGTAATTTGTTGAAAGACGTTAAAATTGACTACAGACATTGTATGTATATAAATTGACCCGCAAAAAAATAAAACGAAATCGTTTTTACTCTGCTTTACCAAAACGTCAATGTAAAAATGGAAGGATTTGTTTAGAAATTCAATACATACCCGCTCACTCATAGCGAATAAGAAATGTTCAGTCATAACCGCAAATTATAGGACATGAATCCACCATAACCTTTTCAGCGGTGATCGAAATCAATAATGAAGTTCTAAGAACACAGTTTTAGAGCACAATAACACTGCCCTAATAAGCATGACTTTTTAAAGAACAAAAATTTGAATTTACTCAAAGAAACTTCATCATTACCTCCGTTTTCCCGCAATTGAGCCAATTTGAACAAACATTGGGATGAGAACTAAATTGGCCATTAACAAAGAAACATACCATGTTAACATGTCTACAGCAAAGAACAGTGCTGATTTAAATTAATCGGACAAACAAACAAAATTTGAAATTTCAAACGAATTTTTTTCCGCAACTCTCAACCAAGGTTTCACCTCAAAAAATGGTCATTTTGGCTTTTAAAACAACAAAACTTTTAATTTTTTTCATCACTTCTGTCAACGCCTACGTTTTCCTGCATGTGAGCTAATTTGGACAAACACTGGGTTGAATTAGAGGGCCATTGACAAAGAAACATATTATGTTATCATGTCTTTAGCAAATTACAGTGCTGATTTAAATTAACCGAACAAATAAACAAAGTTCGAAATTTCAAGCGCATTTTTCTTAAAATTGGTTTTAAATTAAGCAAAAAATAAGCAGAACAAAAATTGCTTAAAGTTTCATCAGAATTGATATGGTGCACTTTTTTCTCCAAAATTCTCAAACTTAATTTCACTCCAAAAATTGGTAATTTTGGCTTTTTTAAATAATCAAGACTTACGCTGAAACTACTTTGTTAATAAATGAGAAGTTCAGGGCGAAGTTCTGAATGTTCGGACTGCCTTTTAAGATCTATGGAGCAATAATAACATGAAAATTTTTTTTTTTCAGATTTGAGATTTTTGTGAAAATCATCCCCCACGCCATATAAAAAAAGTGATAGATTTGGCTGCTAGCAAAAATGAATTAAGACAAAAAAGCTTTCTTCAACCAATTTGGAACGATTTCTAAGACATTTTAAATCTTCGCTTACGCGTTAATAGCGCAAAACATATCCCGCGTTAATTGTCCCAAATTGGCCAAAATGGCAATCTTAAAGCCCCATAACTTAACAAAAATTGATCACTGGTGAAATATCTCTGCATATTTAAGCTCAAGAAAACAATACTTTTTAAATGATATATATATATATATATATATATATATATATATATATATATATATATATATATATATATATAAATATAAATATATAAAAATCAGTCAAAAACCTTTAGTTAAAAAGTCGAAAGTTGTCTGAAGAAAAAAACAACCCCGAGCACAAATATGCCGTTATTTTTGTTTAGAAAGTCGGAACAAAATTGGATCACAAGAAGCCTATTACAATCCCAACGTAGATCTAGAAAAGTTAAATCTCCAAAAATTTGTGCCGACTGTTCACAATCTCGACTACCAAGCAAAAATATTTTCATTTATACAGGTTTTTGGAGAGTTAATTTTTCTAGAATTTTGTTTTAATGTGTAAGAAGCTTCTTGTGATATAGTTTTCTCATCTATTAACAAAGTATCTTCAGCAGAGTTTTTGGGGTGAAGTTTTGATTGAGAATTTTGGAGAAACTTTCGGTACCATATTAAATCTGATGAAACTTTTGTTTTCTTCATTTTTTGTGTAATCTCAACCCAAATTGAGAAAAACGCATTTGAAAATTCAATTTTTGTTTGCTTTGTCCGGATAATTTAAATCAGCCTCATGTATTCTCCTAGCTGCTAAGAATTTGCTACAACATTCGACACAGTGGATCACGATATCCTGCGGCATGATGAAAAATTGTCCTCATCACAAATTCGAGTCAGGGCAACAGTGGACGAACTTCTATACAAAAAGTCCAAAACAACGACAGAAAGACAAATATCTCCTCATGATCATGTCTTGTCTTCAAATTGAAAAGTAAAAATGAATTTTGACCCTCGCTTGCGCCTTTAAAACAAAATTTATATATATTTTGTGGTAATTTTCAACTCAATTTACTCCCGATTGCAATTTTTTCCACATTGTTCTGTTCTGGATGTGGGTTTTTTCCAGAGTGGGTCTAGGAAATTGGATTAACTCTATCTTAAATGAAGCAGGCTAGCGAAATACATCACTTTGTTCTCGAAGTTGAATTTTTCAGGGCTTGCTGTGCAAGTAGTACAAAAATTTCCATAGATTAAATTGCAAAACATTTTGTTCCGACTTGAAAAGAAAATAAGGGATAATTGGGCGATTTTTTCAGAAAAATTTTGATTTGATAAATCAGCGTTGTTGACTGAAATGATTGGTGTTGTTGAGACTTTCAGGTCAAGTTTTAAAAAATTCATCTGTGACAGATTTGTGTTAGGTTATAGGGAATTGAAAGTGGCTGAGTTGGACTTAAATCACGCATATATGGCAATTGTATTACTGTAAAGTGAATCACGTCATTAAGTCTTATTTTCAGGATCGGACACGCTATATACACCATTTTGGACTTCACTCAGTACAAAATGAGGAAAAATATGGAAGAATTTTTTTTTTTTTTTTTAAATTATTTCAATCCATTCTGATTCCAGTGGAAGATAAATTTTAAAAATTTGGTAGAAAACTTGGTTGAAAAAATTTTAAAAAAAGAAAAAATTTTTTTCTATATTTTTCCTCATTTTGTACTGAGTGAAGTCCAAAATGGCGTATGTAGCGTGTCCGATCCTAAAAATAAGACTAAATGACCTGCTTCACTTTACAGTAATACGATTGCAATATATGCGTGTTATAAGTCCAACTCAGCAACTTTCAATTCCCTATAACTTAACACAAATGTGTCACAGATGATTTTTTTAAAACTTGACCTCAAAGTTTCAACAACGCCAACCATTTCAGTCAACAACGCTGATTTATCAAATCAAAATTTGTCTGAAAAAATCACATAATTATCCCTTATTTTCTTTTCAAGTCGTAACAAAATTTTGTGCAATTTAATCTATGGACATTTTTGTACTATTTGCAGAGCAAGCCCTGAAAATTCCACTGCGAGAACAAAGTGATGTATTTCGCTGGCCTGCTTCATTTAATACAAAATGATTTCTAAGACGGATCAAATGTTCGCTTACGCATTAATTGCACGAAATATATCACGCGTTAATTGTCCCAAATTAGACAAATTTACAAATTTTAAAGGGCTATAACAGCAATAAAAATCTAAAACACTCTTTTAAAGGAAAGTTAAAGCTACAGTATCTACTTGTTTTTTAAAACATTGAAAAAACATTTAGGAGTACTTACTTCTAGCTCCAATCACAACTGAAAGAGCTTTTATAGGATAGACCGTTGGACCTACATAGTTCAAATTTTAAACTTGGTATCTGGATTTGCTCAAAAAACACAGATCCGACTAATTCCTTAATAGTTTTAAGATTATCCAGATATGTGCTCTGCAGTAAAAGTTTTAATGCGGTAATTGAAACTGACTACAATGCTGATTTAAATTATCCTGAGAAATCAATTTAACTTGAAATCTAAAATGCGTTTTTCTAAAATTGGGTTGATGTTTGACGTGACCAATTTTGCTTAAACATTTTCTACTGAGTTAATATGGTGCAATTTGTTTTACAAAATTTAAGCCCAAAAATGTTCCCTAATAACGATCATTTTGGCTTTGTTTAGTCAACCAAAATTTACTCAAAATTATTTGTTTACTTACTGACAAAGTTATATCTCTATTATATCATACACGTTTGGAGATAACACCCTTCTTAAATTTTGTTGAACGTAAGGAACTTGCAGTGATATAGTTTTGTCGGTAAATAAACAAATAGGTTTGAGTAATTCTTGATTGACTCAATAGAGCCAAAAATGATCGTTTTTGGTGTAGTTTTTTGAGCCCAAATTTTGCATAACAAATTGCACCATATTAATGCTGTTATAACTTTAAGCAAGTTTGGTCTACGTCATTTTTTTTTGCTGAAATCTACGCATTTTGAGAAAAAAGCGATTTAAATTTCAAATTTTAATCATTCTGTACGGATAATTTAAATCAGCTTTAAACTAGAGTCGGATGGAATCGCTGCAGATTTCTCTTACATGAAGTCAATCAGAAGTCAGCATTATCACGTGAATGAGCACCGAAAAAGTCTGTTCGTAATTGTTGTTTCGGTTCGTATTGATTATTTTTCAGTCGGTTCGGTTATTGGGTTAAGTTGAGTTAATTTCAGATCTCTTTTGTTTAGTTTGGCCGCTTTTGACTGATTAAGAAAAGTTTGTGTTTTTTGATAGTCGAACACGCAATTAGCAAGCTAATTTGGGTTTAAACTCTTACAACTACAGTGCTGATTTAAATTAACCGGACAAAGCGCATTTTTCTCAAATTGGGTTGAGTTTAGGTGAAAACTTCTGAAAACAAAACTTGCTTAAAATTTTAGCAGAATTAATATTACGTAGTCCAACAACCCCTTACGTAGTCCAACAAATTTAAAGAAGGATATAATCTCCAAAATATTGTATAAGTTAATTTATTTTTGTTTGATGGACAAAAAAGGTCGTTTTACTATACAAAATACCAACTTTTTATTTTAAAAATTTTTTTCAACAATTTGCAATTTTTTTTGGAAAAAATACCCTCCATAAAGTTTGTTGAGCTACGTAAGGGGCTCACTTTGATATAGTGATATCTCTGATCGACTGGGTATTTTCGGCGTAATTTTTGATTAACGAAGAAAAGCCAAAATGACCCATTTTGGGGTAAAATTTTGGGCCCGAATTTCGCAAAACAAAATACACCATATTAATCCTGCTAAAATTTTAAGCAAGTTTTGTATTCATAAGTTTTCACCTAAACTCAACCCAATTTGAGAAAAATGCGTTTTAAATTTCAAGTTTATTGCGTTTTGTCCGGTTAATTTAAACCAGCACTGTATTTTGTCACTCAATTTTTTTTGAAAACTTTTTGAAGCATTCAGAACATTCAAAGCGAGTTCTCCGAGACTAACTTGGTAGTGCTGCCTTGTTTCTTCACTAAATCTGTTGCCTGTTTTCGATAGGTTATTCAAAACACCAAACTGAATGTGCAAGTCTGCTGACCTGTTCCTTGGAGACTAGGAAGTTGACAAAGTAGAACTCAATCTCTTTCACTATTACATCATAATCCGCAGCTCCATCTTTGCCCCCCTTCACGCTCAGCCTCTGCACCGCACTAAACCTGAAAAATATAAATTTCTCCCTGTTCCTTTCCGTATTTTCAATTTTGTTCATCAAATATTTTTTGTTCTCAAACTTTCAATTTTGGTTCTTCTAAACGAGCTTCCGAATCAGTCAAACCGTTAGCTGTAAAAATTACATAACTTTTAATGACTCACAATCCTTATTTTCGATTTTAAAAAATTTAGTGAGCCTTGAATGTAAAAAACGAGGGACTTGAATTCATTCTTATACAACCAAATAGAAGAATCGTAAGATTTCTAGCCAAAATAGAAGATTATTATATTTATTTTAAAAAATTAGCAGACGAACTGTACGAAAAGCAATCCAGCGACCAAATGAACCTTTTTTGCGACCTTTTTTGAAATTTTTTACGTAACCTGAAACTGCATGAGAAAACTGTAAAGGTTGATCGGAATAACCACTGAACATTTTGTCGCAGTAACAACCCGCAACGAAGTTTTTCGGATAAAAATAGATTACAATGAAAAAAAATTTCCGAAACTGTTGCAAATGTAATTTATTATGAATAATCCAAAAGTTATTTTTATCTTCATATAATCCCAAGAAAATCTACTTTATATAATCCCAAAAAAATCAACTTTTTTGCAATATAATTGCTATGAAACCAATTTTTGTCGTCAAAAAATTCCCATAAAATCTAATTTAAAACATGAGTCATTATAAGCGAAAATTTGAATTTTTGAACTTTAATGTAAAAACGAGAGCAACTGAAATTAATCATTGCTACCTTTGATTCACTAAAAGGCACCAAAAAAACTCAATTTCCGCTAATTTTTTTCAAAATTACTTGATGGTTTTCAAATTCAGTACAATTTGAAGCAATAAATTGAGGCATAAACAAGCAATCAAACCCGGAAACAAGAGCAACAAAAAAAGCTAAATAAAAAATTTGCTCCTTTGAATTTGCAGCAATTTGTAAAAACGGCGTAAGCATCGGCCCTACATGTTGCAATGATTATGGAGATAATCATTGCGACCAAGAATTAAATGAAAAACAACCGAAAAAAAACTCTAAGTTTGCTAAATTTTTTGGAAACTTCTTGATATTTTTCAGCTCCAACACAATAGGGAGCGATTAGTTTCAGCATAAACAAGCAATCAAATCCGGAAAGAAGAGCAGTAAAAAAGATCATCGCGACCATGGTATCATAATGCCAGTGAAAAATTCTGGAAAATTTTGCCGGAAACTTTTGGAAAGAAACTCATGATGAAATAAAATTCCAAATAATCTAATGGAATAAGTTGAATATTGAATGCACCATGATTTCTAAAAGCGCTAAGATACTGAAACAAAAGAAAAAGGCTACAAAGTTAGTATGTAAAAAGTCTAAATTTTTGCAACACACTAGTAAAAATATTTTTTTAACCAATGAGTTGTGTTTTTGTTTCAAAGTAGAAAGTTAGTCTTCCTCAAAATCAAACTTTTATTGCAAATATATGGGGAAGAATTGATTTTATTTTCATTTCATGGTATTTAAACTGAATTTTTTGTTGGTTTCTATGGAGAAATACAATAGATTATATTGCAATTATATGGAGTGAAAAAACACTTCATATTCAATGTAGATGACATAAAATAAAAGTATTTTAATGGTTTTTTTCACAATATATATTTTAATTTTTTCGCTTTCCATAAACTTGCCATATAATTGATTCTTAGATGGTTAAATTTATTTCCGAATAAAAATCGCCAGATAAGTGAGTATTATTTATGCGATTTTTATTCGGAAATAATGATTAACGGATGAGTGATAATAGTGATTAACGGATGAGATTTCCCTCAGTTGGTGAAGGGAAAATTTGTTTATAAAATTCGAATATTGAATTAAATATGATATATAAATAGATAGAATAGAATAATGTATATAGAGTTAACGTTTCCAGATTGAACAAAGATTGTCAACTTTCTTAACTAGTTATCACACCTCTGGCTTTCGCAACTGCCGTTTTCACATTCTTAAGTGACAGACGAATAGGCTGGTGAGATATGTCCTTGAGTCAAATTACTGCACTATAATGAATAGATAATAGGACATAGTTATATAGGATACACATAAATAAATAGAATAGAGTGAGGTACCGAAGGTCGGCTCTGACATTTCCTCCTCTTGAAAGAAAATTTATCAATGTATAAATTTTTGATTTTAACGAATAGGAATGAAATGGTAATGCACTATCGCCTCTGCTGAGAGTCGACACAGTCGAACATTAAAGCAAGATATGCTGAAGTTTGAGCAAGTTTTAAGTTTAAGAGTCATTTTTCAGTTTCCTCAATTCTTATCTTCTTGAATTGTGTAGCTTGTTCTTTAGTCCTCGGGAAAGGCAAGCCTTGATCAGTGACCTCAGTAGGTTCGGTGGTAACCGAGCCCTGAACCTCTTTGTGTTGACCATCCGCTGACGTTTGTGGCCCCGATTGAGTGGACAGTTCAAGGGGCGTTGCCGAAATTTCCGTAGACGATGCTGGAGCTGTGGCCGTAGTCAGTGGCATAGTCGTTGTCTGTGGTGAATCATTCATCTGAGCCGCGCTCTGAGGCGCTGAACCAGGTGACTCCTCTATCTCGAGCTGTGGTCAAGTGATCAATGAGTCCTTACTTGACGACTCCACAGTAAGATTTGTCACCTTGCCCTTGAAAGGTTCGCTGGTTTGCCGCTGAACCGGTGAAGGAGATTGTTGAGAGTGAGGCCGGGGAGCAATCCGTCTTTGGAGTCTCTCTCCAACTGTGTCAGGCGTGGCTGAAAACTTAGGGTATTTAAAATTATGTCTTAAGCTTAAATGATTTTTCCGATAGAGTTTTTCCTTGTCAGTAATGTAAGTGTGATCCGCAATACGAGTAATCTTGATTTTTAGCTATTTTGAATAGAGGTTTTCCTGAGTTCCGGTCAAGCACTTTTCGAAAGATTTTGACTCTTAGAGATCTTGCAAATTAGTTTTTCTAATTTACGTGTATTTGAGAGTCTTTTTGGCCTCGTTGAAGATGACACATTCACCCGCTGAGAATGCGATACGGCTGGCGCTGGCGGATCTCTAAGGTGATCGTAGAAACGTAACGTCCCCTTTGTGATCCCAGATTTCAACGAGGTAGCAAGGTCACTGTTTCGGGCGGCCAGTTCACGAAGGAGCTCGCGTCTCTATTCCGTTTCAATTGGCTCCAAGTGTTCGCCGCCTTAGCAAGATTCTCCACAGCCTTGTACGACCGCTACCTTACTGCCCACTCCAAAAAGTGGCTTGAATTTGAAGGGAATGTCCGGACTGTGCGAAGCTCCTCTAGGCACAACTTTAGCCCTATCCCGCCTGTAGTCCTGACTTTACGGCTGCTCCGGTGTTAAGAGGTTTCTTTCCAGTTCTTGCGCTTAAGTAGGAGAATGAACACATTATCACGTGCTATTGAGAATTCCGTATTAGGCTTTCTCCCATAGTGTAGCTCAAAAGGAGTTGTTTTTAACGTAGCATTTTTTGTTTTCCGAATATCGTCAACGATTTGTTGTAATGTTGACTTCAAGTTTTTAAAATTAGGATCTAATCTTTCGGTTCCCAACTTCCGTTTAATGGTCTGAATTGACCGTTCAACCAGTCCGCAACTTCGATGATCCCCCGCCGCTGTGAGGACATGTTTTATGCCTCTACTTAAATCTTCCTAGGATATAAATCTTCCCCTTTTTATCATCAATTATGGGGCCCGCAAAATCAAGTTGTATTTGTTGATTCGGAGCTGACAGCGGTGATAATGGCTTAGCAGAGTTATAACTTGTTGAATCTTTGATATACTTACCAAATAGAGTACATTCCGGGCATATATCCAAGACATTAACTATCTGACGATTGAGTAACGGCCACCATATGTATTCTGAAGCATCCATCATAGCTGCTTGTCCAGGATGCGATTGGTGAATGCGAGTCAGAATGGCACTCCGTAGCTGCTCGAGTATAGCCAACTTGTTGTCTATCAAGACGCAGTTGTTAACCACCGCCGCCTTCGTCCAGAATTGGGCCATGTACGCCCACAGTTTGTTAAAGGATTGCAATTCCTTGTTGATAATTGCCGTCCGCATTGCTCCTAGGAACGTGTCTTCTCCTGTAAGCTCCCCCAGTAGGTCGACGTCAAAAAGTCTTGGTAGGCCGACAACTTTCCTCTTGTCCGGAGTGACCAATGGTTTGTGATTATTGATGGCATTGGCTCCCATCCTGACCACTCCTTTCTGTCGACCCTGCTTTGTCAGTCTCTGCCTCCGGCACTTGTCCAAGAATTGAGCAAGGGCCTTTCGTGTGGACTGTCCCCGAGCGACCAAAAAGCGGCCAGATTTCGGGTACGTATTTGATCAATTCGGCTCGGGCAATTCATGCAGCTAGCTCTTGAGAGTCCGTATCTTTGTTGACGTGGGGTACGAAAATCAGGGGGACTTGTAATAAAGCTTTAGACAAAATTAAGGAGATTTGCTTGTTGAAGCGTTTTGTTTGCAAGATCAATAGTTTTAGTAGAAGTATTAGAGTTATTTAGAGTAGAGTTTAGAGTAGAGTTTTGAGAAACATTTTTTGAAGCATCCATAGCGTAATTTGATTTTGAGATGTAAGGTCGGAGACAATGATTTCTTTCACAAACTTCCGGTTTAGCGTATCTCATTTGCATACTAGGCTGTGATTGGTCGAGCAGATTAGAGCATGAAAAGTCGACCTCTCGCGACGAGAATTTAAAATCGCAATTTTGCATACTAGCCTGTGGTTGGTTGATTATCTGAGAGCATGGTTGATATCGTTACTAGAAATTAGCCTATCCTATAGGGATTTGTTAGATATTTGGTTAGTAAACGCGACGCCCTCTATGGACGACAAGCAAGACTGGTTGCAAGAATCCTATTGGTCTAATGAGGCAACAGATGATTGGTCCACCGCTTTAGTTAAGAGGTGGCGAATATCACCTACAATGTTACCGGACGTTTTGATTGGTTGAAATCGATTATGATGTGATACCTGCCCCACGTACACTATTTTGGTCTGAACGGAGTGCAGATCGAGTTTAAAGCATTATAAAAGGCTTGAATAGATTTAATGACAATAAATTCGTCATGCAATGACGGTAAAGGAGCTTTAAATGTCGGTTGTCTCAACATATAATCTCTAATTCACTGAGAGGAACCTGGTACATGTTTAATTTCATAATCAAACGGAATGAGGCGATCCGCCCAACGAGAAAGTCGCGACTGATAAGATTTCTTGCCATACATTTCCTTGAGTGCTGAGATAATAGCTTTGTGATCAGTTAGGATAATAAAAGGCTTGCCAAGTAAGTATGTAAGAAAATGTTCGCACGCCCACACAATGGCCAAGAGCCAAGAGACATTTGGTGCCACCTCTTGTTCCAAACAAGCTCCTAGCCCACTGTGGCTTGCGTCACACTTGATTCGAGAAGCTTTTGTGGCATCATAGTGATAAAATTTTCTGAACAAAATTCCCCCCACGAAATTGATTTCTAATTCACCGCTTTTAAAGATGCTCGGAATTCGACCGTATACTTATGCAATTCTGGAATGAAACGTTGAAGATGATTGAGAGTTTTCATGAATGATCTCAATTGCTTAAGAGGTTTCGGTGGCATAAGTGATTTGATTGTCTCGATTTATGAAAACTTCGGGGCGTAACCAGATTCATCGATTTCGTATCCTAACCAGACTAACTTGTTAACTGAGAAATCACATTTGCTTAGTTTTAGCGTCCATCATTCTTCATTCAGTCGATCCATGTCATTACCGACTAGAGTGTTATGATCTTCAACTCTCCCTTTAGTAACCACCAGTATATCATCAAGGTAACATATAACTCCTTCCAATCCTTGTAGGGTATAGTCCATCCTTTTCTGGACTTCAGTGGGCATATCCGTCAATCGGTAGAAACCAGTTTTGAATCGATACGCGCCTGTTGCTTCTCCACAAAAAATACTAAAATTACAATGACTACTGGTTAGATCCGATAAAAGTAACTGACTAAAACCAGATTCGAGATCAAGAGATGTTGGTCACACTTTCCCAGGTGTGTCTTTAGTGATGATTTGAGCCACCGAGTCAATCAATTCATGCATATTAGGCATTTGGTACTTGTTTTGCCATATTTGGGAACTCATTGGTTTAGCATTAAGTGCAAGTTTTGTTGAACCGTCCTTTTTTGCAGTTAGTACTATGGGTGCGATAAAATGGTCCGTAGTACACTTATCTAGTTTTTCAATTTGTTTATCCTTGATTAATTTTTTAATCTCAGCCGTGACTCGATCTTGTATGTGAATGGGAACTTCTCGGCTTTTAACTTGCCTAGGTATCAAAGGACCCTTAAAGTTAGGGAGCACTTTAAGGTTTTTCAACCTCCCCAGCCTGCAGCCTGTTGAACACACTTGGGTACCTTTTCACAAAGTGATCCCTCCAGCATCCAGAGGTCGGATTCATTTCCTCCACATCCTCCGCAAAATTGACTTCTGTTGGTTCTCGCTGAACAGTTTCAATTCCCAATTGTTCATGAAGATTTAACCCGAGCAAATTCTGAGTTCGATTTTCGGACACCATAAAACACGCGTTTTCGATTTTCCATCCTTTCGACGCAATTGGAATTTCTAACGACCCGAACAAGTTAATTGGTTTTTTGTTATAGTCCACGTATGGGACACTTAATGGATATCTCCCGGCGTCCTTAAACTTGACATGTGGAAGCCGTCTCATCGGTTTTTCCGCCATTTTCTTGTTCAGGAATGAAACGGGACTGCCGGTATCCACCGTGGCATAAAAAAGAGTTACCGGAACGTAATTGAATACTGAGGCTCATCGGTTGTCCTCCCTCTGCCTGTAAGACTTCTAAACTGTTGATTTGTACGATGTCTCGTTATGTTGCACCATGTAAACTCAACGTTTTGTAGTGTTACAGACTTTGGCGAAATGGCCTTTCTTTTTACAAGCATTAGAAACAGCCTCTCTGGCCGGACACGACCGGTGGTGTTCGAGTGAAAATGGGTTACCACAAAAGTAACAGGGTTTGTTTTGACTTTGGCGTTGATTGGAACGGTTTGAGCCTCCTCCGCGACTGTTGTTTCCTTGGTTCCTGAATTGCTGTACCGAAGAAGTCGGTTCTTTGTTGATCCGAATAGAACTGGCGTTTATCGAAGACGAGTTGTTATGTGGTAGTAACTTTTGAAATTGCTCTGATGTCTGAGCCCCTTTCTCATTCTCCAATGCCAATTGCAGAGTATCGTCAAGATTGGCTTTCGCCCTGATTAGTTGCCGTTGGACCTCTACATCCCTAATACGACCAATAAACAAGTCCTTTACGGTGGCCCTTTCTTGATCAATCGGCCAATTGCACAACGCGGTTTGAGCGCTAAGTCGTGCATAAAATGAGGAAAAAGAATCATTCTCCTGCATAAATATTGTATTATACAACTTGATTCGTTCGACTGTTTAATCCCGCTCTGCCTTAAAGAGATCTTCTCAACACTTGTGAAAGTCAATGAAGGAGGATGTATTCAGGTCCAGATGGGGATAAGAATCCAAAAATCGTTTCTTTCCCTCATTTCCCAATGAGAAGAAGGGTCTAGATTTCAGACGCGCCTCTGCGTCATGATAACATCAGTTATGACCGATGCGAGGGCCTTTCCGTCTCCTTTCTTGATTGTACTCATCGATTCTTCTATTCGCTGCTGCAATTCGAAGAGTCCTATTAGCTATGTTTGCTGTAATTTCATCTTTTCCCGGAGCTTCAGGCCTCGCATAAGGTTCATCAACCAACTCCGCTGGGGCAACTAACACCTCCCCCGGCGAAATATTGTCTTTTAGACTAACGGCCAAAAAAAAACTGTCCTACCCATGTCTCCCAAATAAATGGTGGGTTAACCGATGATTTAGCCCAAAATGGGGGTATTCCGAGTAGGTCAGTCCTGTCTTCATTTACAGGAACTGCTGGCTGCGCCATGAGATTTCCCTCAGTTGGTGAAGGGAAAATTTGTTTATAAAATTCGAATATTGAATTAAATCTGATATATAAATAGATAGAGTAGAATAATGTATATAGAGTTATCGTTTCCAGATTGAATAAAGATTGTCAACTTTCTTTACTAGATTTCACACCTGAGGCCTTCGCAACTGGCATTTTTACATTTTCAAGTGACAGATGAATAGACTGGTGAGATATGTCCTTGAGTCAATTTACTGCACTATAATGAATAGATAATAGGACATAGTTATATAAGATATACATAAATAAATAGAATAGAGTGAGGTACCGAAGGTCGCCTCATGACAACGGAGAAGCTTTGCTGCAGGAAATGAAAAGGATGTTGAAGCTTTAGAATATGTTTGAAAGCTCCCGTAAACAAAATTTTAAGCTTTCTAAACTGTAGATTATTCAATTCTGATTTTTAACTTCAAAGTCCCTCGGCCCTACAAAAAACAAAATGAACTTCTTGATTTGCTAGCTTGAATAAATCCAAATGAATCTCCCAGTATAATCCATGTATGCATCGGGTAGTCAAGCACATGTACCCGCTTTGGCAAAAGCTTTTGGACTGCAATGACAAACGGGTTGCGCTAACCTCTTCTGAAGGTTCCTGTAGTTATCGTCCATGACCCGAGTGGCCTGCTGCTTGAGACTATTGCTCAGTCGGTTCAGCAGTTCGTCGGATGACGTGTCGATTTCAGTCGTGCGTCGGGAGTAGCCATCGAACTGCATGTTCAAAGTACGCATCAACACCATGTCATCCTTGTAGCTCAGAGACGAAGAAAAAATCCCCATTATCTGCCAGTAAATTGTCAAAAATAATTACAACAGTTCCCCGCAAGTAACTGAAAAAATACGCCGGAGCTCAATATTTTTCTGTTAGAAATGAAGTAAAAAAAGGGAAAATGCGAAAAAGTGTATGTATCTGTTAAAACTATATGTGCTTGTTTGACGAGAAATGAGAAACTGTGAAAAAAGTAGTTATTAAGTTGCCATAGGGCGCCAAGAGTATTTTCAACGGTTGATATTTAATGATGAAAGTTTCCTTTAAATCAGCTTCGTAGTATGAAATTGACTGAAGTTCAGAAACACGTATGCGAAACGCAATAGGAACGGAAAAGTTTTTCCTTAGCAACGAATTCAATACTCACAATCCGTAGTTATTTTTAAAATTCCTAATTTGCTTAAAACTGTACCCCTGATAATTCAAGAAAAACAGAAAACCAAAATTAACATTACTTTATCGCGAGCCCTATAAATTCAGTTGACCAGACAAACCACTGCTTTTTTCCAGAAAAGTGACAAACTATTATGCGGGAGTTGCTTCAATGAAAAATTTAATGAGCTGACGTAATCTGAGCGTACGGCGAAAACTTGAATCGTGAATTGTGAATAATGTTTTTAGAATGCAATGTCCACGTGCTGCTCGAAGGGCTGAATATTGGAACCGCCTTAAAATAACCACCTATATATTAAAAGACACTCTCTCTGAATAACTGAACAACATCCAGAAACTCCAACAAGTCTGCTCGTATCAGGGCGAAGCCCGGAATGTTCCGACTGCCTTTTAAGGTTTATGTTGCAGTAATAACCTTAAAAAATTAAATGTAATAAATTAAAATGAATTTTTTTTTAATCTGAACTTTACACGAAAATCATCCCCCACACGCCATATAAAGAACAAAAGGACAAATTTCGCTCCTTGTAACAAATCAATCATGGCAAATAAGCTTCTTTCAACCAATTTGGAACAATTTTTAAGACGGATTAACTCTCCGCTTACGCGTTAATAGCGCGAATTATATTGCGCTTTAATTGTCCCAAATTGGCCAAAATGGCAATCTTTCAACCCTCATAACTTTACGAAAAATGATTACAGGTGAAATATCTTTTCAAACTTAAGCTCAGGACAACAATACCTTTCAAATGAAATAAAATAAGTCCGTCAAAAATGGCTAGTTAAAAAGTCGAAATTTGTCTGAAGAAAAATAAAACCCCACCCCGAGCACAAATATTCCGTTCCTTTCGTATCAAAAGTCGGAACAATAAGCCTCAAAATTACGAGTCAAAGTAAAAGTTTAGTAACCTTTGAATAGTTTATCTTTAAATTAGAGGTGCAGTGTTGCTTCTAATCACTTGCGATACACTTATGTGCTCAAAAGTCTGCCAGAAGTTCAGTATAGAAAACAGCAGTTAAAAACTACTAAAACTTCTTAATCATTGTAGTACTTCTAGATTAGGCGCAATCCAGCCATTCTCTAACAAACTCAAACTCAAAAGTAGACAAGACTGCTCGTATCAGGGCGAAGCCCTGAATGTTCCGACTGCCTATTAAGGTTTATGGAGCAGTAATAACATTAGAAAATTAAAAGTAATAAAACAAAATGAAATTTTTTTTTCTAAAATTTGAAAATTTTTATGAAAACCATCCCCCCACACGCCATATAAAGTACAAAAGGATAGATTTCGCTACTTGTAACAAATCAATTATGGCAAATAAGCTTCGGTAAACCAATTTGGAACGATTTCTAAGACGGATTAACTCTCCTCTTACGCGTTAATAGCGCGAAATATATCGCGCGTTAATTGTCCCAAATTAGCCAAAATGGCAATCTTTAAACCCCCATAACTTAACGAAAAATGATCACAGGTGAAAAATCTTTTCAAATTTGAGCTCAGGACAACAATACTTTTTGAATGATATAAAAAAATCCGTCAAAAATGGCTAGTTAAAAAGTCGAAATTTGTCTGAAGAAAAAAAAACCCCACCCCGAGCACAAATATTCCGTTATTTTTGTATCGAAAGTCGGAATAAAAACGGATAAAATCACTATTTAAGCACTTTAACTTTAAAAAATACAAATTTAAGACACCGTCGCTCCGTTCATTGTTTTCTTGCGATTAAACATAAATAAATAAAAAGCCCACAAAATTATACGTTCGGGGAGCGGTGGTGAAGTGGTCAATCGAAAAGTCGGATGTTCGAGGCCCACCATGATCCGTGCTCGTTGCTTGAGGGTGAAGCAACATAACCCAGCCCAGAAAGATAACCAAAAAAATTGCATGTAGTTCTTAAACAGGGGCACAACAGCGGTTCGCCGTGATGAGCTGTACAGCTCGTATGTTGGTCGTTTATCTCGTACTAATACATGCACTGCTGACGGAAGATGCAGAGTCGGAACCGGGCCAAGTAAGTTACAAAAATTTCAAACATGGGCCCTTTTTTAATAAAAAACCAAAATTTTCTAACAAAAAGTAAGATGAATTTGAAATGTGCATTTTAAAAAATCAAAAATATGGCCGCAGCCGATCGTAACATTTTGATTTGAGTGGCTTTTGCCGCACAAAGGAGGGCTTCCTTGTTTGTTCAGGTTTGCCCAGTCCTGCGGAGATCACACTCGCACTGGGCGCTTGTAGCTTAAGATAGTAGGAGCTGCCGCGCGACACGAGTGAGGTGGGGGTACTCGGACGCTGCTCTCTTCCAGAACTCGGCGGGGGTACGGATTGATAGATGTGAAAGACTTCAGTTTATGACTCCAGCTCTTTCATTGCCGCTTTGTCAATTGGAGTTTCTTCGTCGCTGGCGGATCGGCAAGAGTCGAAGATCAAATCCGTCTACCGGACAAAAGTGTCACGGTGCATCAAAGTGTCATCTTATCAAAAGGTGTTATGGACTCGAAAAGGTGTTAAAAGATGTAAAGAAAAACAAAAGGTGTGAACGGAAAGCTCAATAAATGAGAAATGAAGTTTCAAAAGATGCGTAGTGAAGTGTGAAAGGTGTTAACGGAATCGTGAAAAAGGTGCGGCTGCTGGTCCTTAAAATGAGGACCGAGCCCGGCCCGTAAAAAGCATGGGTCGGGTTTGAATTCTGGGAATACATCAAAAAAAAAAATTTAAAGTCAAAGTTGTAACCCTGCAACGTAAATCGAATTGGATTATAGGCAGCGCTACAGATATTTTGCTACTTGGCTAATTTTTTTGAATTTTTTACCGCGATGAAAGTCTTGAGCAATGAGCAATTTTCAAAAAGACACCCAGACAATAGGGTAAATCCTAGGTTAACAAGTTTTCCTTAGATATGCGCAGGGAGTGATCGAATTAGGAAAACAAGAACAAGTCAAAATATATGGCAGTTTAAGTCATTCATTGATGAGCGGTAATTCTCAATTTCACTAAAATTTTTATCAGCAAAATGCAAAACAAACAATTCTTGATGAAACTTTCTTCAATGAAACCAAACTGACTTAGTTTTTTTAAAATATATATAAATGAGTTCATTGTTGAAAAAATGTAAATCTCACTTTTTGGTCAAACCTGGCCGGGAACCAAAATTTAAGACAATCAAATTGAGGCCAAAAAAGTTGTTTACCTTTGATCGAGTCATGACTGAAAAGACTCTAATTTGATATGTCGTTTGAACTTATATAAAGTTTTTGTATAACGAAGATTACACCCAAAAGCTTAGATCATTCTCGTTCGCTTGGACCATTGGCCAAAGCAATTACATAAATATGTTGCGCAGAGACTGTTAAACACATTTTAGGCCAAATATGATTTTCAGTTTAAGGTAATTGGTGAAAGCTTTGAGATTTGTTTCTAGTTTTTTCAAACCTTCTTTCATCTCACATATCTTTAGATGGTCGCAATATCCATTAAGTTTGCCAGTCATATAAAATCTTTATTTTTTTAGGACTGAAAAAAATAGGAACGAAGTTTCCCCGAAGGAAGCTTTAATTCTAAACCTTAAAACTATATCATGGTTTGAGTTGGAGTTAGTGCATTGTGGACGCATTCAAAAAAAAATGATCAATTTTTTTAATCAGAGAGAATAATACCTTTGATGCATATCACACTCATGATATTTTAACAAAGGATAAAAAGGTTTCCAGGTTTTTTGGAAACAAACAGAAATTAGTTTCTTGCATCGGTTAAAGTTGTGTTCTGCCGACATAATTTTTCACCTCGGAATTTGGCATCAAAAAATGAACAAAAATGTTCATCAGCCAAATTCAGTTTTTCAGCAAAAATTGTATAAATCCCATTCAAGTGCTTTTCTTATAAACACAATTTGTGTTTTTGTTTTCATATGATACTTTAAACATAAAATTGTAAGAAAACAGGCTTCTTCTCTCAACCAGCGCAATTTTCAACTTAAAAAGTTTCGTGCCATATACAAAAATTTACGGTTTTGGTACATAACTCTGTGTAAAAATGTCATCATTAAGTTATATGGCTAATATCAACAAATGCAATTTATCTGTGTGGTTACTGCCGGTTACACTCTTGGTTTTCTTATGACAGAAAATCCTTGATTAGTGTGTTTCGAATGAAACACAAAATTTTTTAACAAAAATGGAAAAAGCGCTCATCACACATTTTCTTCGTATGGAAAAATGTCTATCATACAATTTCATTGCACAAACAAATTCCTTTTTTTATTATCATAAATTTTTTTTGTTAAAAAATATGACCAAAAGCTTGTTTTTTTTAAAAAAAAAAAGTGGCAAAAAACGCTTAGCATAAAAATCATGGAAAAAATGCTGTCATAATATTTCCATACTATTTTTTGGTCTCTGAAATATTATGAAATAGTATGATAGGCAATTTCTGTCAACACGGGTAGTTTGTATTGATGGGTAAATTTTGAATCTTTAAAACGACAGCTTAGCTCTATGGAAGTCTTCGGAGCAACTTACTATGAAAACGCCCAGTACCCGGGCTGAGGTGTTCGACTCATGATTCGACCGACACGGTCGAACGGAGTCCAATTTTCGTCGCAAATTAAGAAGGTCGAATGAACAATATAGTCGAATAAAGTCGAATCATGGGTCGAACAGGGTCGAATCATGAGTGGAACAGGGTCGAATCATGAGTCGAACAGGGTCGATAGAGTCGAACAGTGTCGAATCATGAGTCGAACAGGGTCGAATCATGAGTCGAACAGGGTCGAATCATGAGTCGAACAGGATCGAATCATGAGTCGAACAGGGTCGAATCATG